GTACAAACTCGAATAAGCCAAAGGGTGTTGTAATAGCTGTCTTGGGGATATCTTCATCAGCCACTGGGATATTGTGATATGCCCTGACTAAGTCAATTTTAGTGAATATGTTCATACCCTGTAAACCGTTTGTGAAATCTTGGATATGCAGTATTGGGTACCTATCTGGTACGGTTTGACGGTGGAGGGCTCTGTAATCTCCGCACGGTCGCCAGTCACCTTCATTCTTCTTTGGGACCATATACAAAGGAGATGCCCATTGACTATCAGAGGGACGGATAATACCCAGTTGTAGCATATAATCAAACTCGGCCCTAGCGATTTTGAGCTTATCTGGTGCTAGTCTCCTGGGTTTTGCAAAAACCGGTGCACCTTCGGTTTTGATAGTGTGACTTACTTTTAGTTTGTCTTTGGAAGGCTGTGGGTTCGGTTTAGTTAAGTTTGGAAATTCCGCGAATATGTTTTGGAATTTCGCTGTTGTTACTGGAGGGGTTTGAATCAAGTTAAGAGAGCTGATGTGACTTTCTTTGCCTTTTGTGTAATACGAAGTTTCTTTTAGTGTTAATCGCCGTTTCTTGGTGTCAACTAGAAATTCGTATCTCTCTAGAAAGTCCATCCCCAGTATTGCCAGATCTAAGTCGGCTACTGTGAAAACCCAAGGGAATTGCCTCCTGAACCCCAAATCTAGGGTTAAAGTTTTCTGCCCAAATGTCGCGATTTTAGTTTTATTTGCAGCTTGAAGTGTAATTGATGATGTTTCTCGACTAATCTCAGTTTTATTTTGAGGGATGATGCTAAGAGCAGCGCCAGTATCCACCAAGAAATTCAAGCCAGAGTTTCTGTCTCTAACATAAAACAAGCGGCTGTTTAGGCGCCCCTCCTCGGTCGTCGCGAGTTGGGGAGGGGTTAGTCGTTTCCCGCTGTCTTAGAATTATGCTTAGGCCAGGCGCATGGTTGCATGCACTTGGTTGAGTTGACACCAAACTTCCAGTGGTACCAACAAAACTGCCCAGATTGTCTGGACATTTGTGACCTGTTTTTTGACTTGGATCGTGGTCGTTGTGGTGACCTGCTCCTGTTTCTATGACCCATTTGCATGCTGGTTACAGCCTCAGTGAGACTCTTAACACTCGCAATGAGTCCTTCTATGACGGGGTCTTTTGCTGATTCTACTTTTTGTGTGTCCTTAGGCTTGCATTCCAGTTCTATCCAATTTTTCATTCTTCTCAGGTCCATCTCCATTTCGCGAAGTAATGTGTTCTTCAGTCTTCCTCTTCTCCTTTGGCCTCGAGAATTCCATGTGATGATGGCTTGCTTTGTGACTTGTCTTGGGTGCTTTTGTAGAGACTTACTTTTATCAAGTGGACGCGATTGGTTTAATGGAAACAATCATTATTATAACCAATTGTTCCTGTGATTGTTTTACTGCGCTCGTTTGTTTAGCTGCACTAAAGACAGCCATATTATTCCTTCATTATTCTCCATTACTTTTCTGCGGATTGTGACCTCGTACGTTCGTACTCTAGCCTGCTTATTCCACTTGTACTCCTTTTGGCAGGACCTCAGTATTCGTCCGACACCACGAGATCGCCAACGAAATAAACTTGGTTACGCGCTATCTTCGCCTTCTGATTTGTTTGATACTCGTTACTTTGTAGTGGTGCTCATTGTCAACCGCGACTGGACATCACATTACACTTTCCTGAATGTGTGTCCTATCCACTCTCAGAGCTTTTTCATTATTTCTTCTTCCACTGGGATCTGGTTTGTTCTCTCCCACAGTAGGTTGTTGCTGATAATGTCGGGCCAACGGATCCGAAGTATTTTTCGTAGACAACTTTTAATAAACACTTGTATCTTCTGGATGATGGCTTTCGTAGTTCTCCGAGTTTCCGCCCCATATAGCAGATCTGTTTCGATATTTGTATTGAAAATTCTAACTTTGGTGTTTGTGGACAGTTGTTTCGACTTCCAAATGTTCTTCAACTGTAGATGCACTGCTCTTGCTTCACTGATCCGCGCTTTCAAATCTGCATCAGATCCATTTTGTTCATAAATGATGTTGTCCAGATATTTAAAGGTTTTTGTATCCCCCGAAGAATTCTCTGTTATGTATGATTTGGTTGGTTCATGATGTGTTGTAACGGAGAATCTTGCGTTTCCCTTTGTATATGTTAGGATACACAGCTGCTTAGGCTGCTGCTACACTAGTCGTCTTCTTCTGCATTTGTTGATGCGTGTGCGATAGGAGAGCCAGATCATCTCCAATGTCTAGATCGTTCGACGGCACCCATTGCCTGTATTTGAAGTTCGGCTGGAGGATCTTGGGGTTGAAGTGAGCCATGATCTTAAAACCACGGCCTACTGTCAGGTGATTGCAGATGGGGGTTTGAAACTCCATGAGCTTTAAGAAAGACATTCACCAACGTACCGACTGCAATTTTCATTTCAGTATAAACATGGAGTTTCACCATTACTCTAGATGGTCTACTATATTTACGATACTTCACAAACTGTACAAGCTCTCACTTGAACTAGTCATATATATTATTTTTGATAACCATCACCCCCAAACCCTTTCATGACAAAATATATTTATTCACTTCATACAACTACAAACATACTACAATGAATGAAGAGATATTTGTATACTGAAAATCGTATTTACTAAAATAGTGAGTAAAAACGAACATCATGATGTATGAAAATACTGGAAGCAGCAGACCTTATGACTGACATGACACCTAGTTTGTTTACATTAGCCATGTTTTCCTAAAATTATGATGGAAGTATAAACGTTGGTGCATAAGAGCTATGAAACAACCTAAATAATAATAAATACCACTACAAGCCGATAAATAAAACATGAAAGTTCATAAAAACCGTCTTGCTGATTGTTACGGGAGAACTGAAGACATTTGACTGATTAAAACCTTTTTATTGTATATGATTAATTTCACTGTGTTTTTGGATGTATTTATTTTACTTAACTTCTGAACTTGTTTGTTTATATCATTATTTCCGGACATTTTGGTTTCTGTTTGTCTTCGGTTTGGTAATTGGGAGTGAATAGACATCGACGATCGACAAGTAAGAAGCGTTTTGTTAAGAAGATGATCAACGGTGTGCATAAGCAAGACGTTCAATGAAAACTTGATATTCCAATAATGTCCAGGCATCCTAAAATCATTTCGTTCAAAACACAGTCTATGTCAGTTAATGTGCTAAAATCATATGTGACATTTTTATGGCTTTTCATCTATTCAGGCAAACATCTGCATCTACAAAAGCTACTCTTCATATGTGTCACATCAAAACTCTGTCTCACATGGTAATGACAGTTTTATAACTGATGATATACAGCAAAATATCTCAATACGACTTTGTAACAAATTGAAACGATTTTATCCATTTTTTTAATTTTGATGAATACATTGTGACTTTTGCATTGAAAGCAAATATGATTACTGCCAACTAATAGCAAACCAATTAAGTCCATCAATTTTTCAGTGTTTGGACATATTTCGAAACATGACCCTCCATGCTTATCTGAGAATGAATCATACCCATTCCTTAGACATGTGGTTGAGCATCTTCGGAGATTTTGTAACCTTAACTCACTTGTTTCCCCACCAAGCAAATTCAGCTGTCGAGAACGTTGAATAAAACTGATCCTGGTAAAGGAGTACTTTAAAGTTAATCATTTTAAGTTCAATCTCTGTGTGTACAGGTGATTTGACAAATGGTTTAGTTAACTATCAATAAAACAACCCCTCCCTATGTGGTAAGTCAAATATGACAAATGACTATTTCCAATTTGTTCACTTTTGTATTTATCGTGCAGATAATAGACATTTACGTTAATTTTCTGTTTGAGAGTTCCATTCCAAATATTCTTTGTTAGTTTTGGAACTGTACTGCATACATGACATGTTTACTCACAATCGACATCCACAATAATAATGCAACAGGTTTCTGAATGCATCATTTTCGGCGGCAAAACTTCAAATTCTGTATGAAACAACATGCTCAGTAACTCAATCGTAGGTTGATAAGCATCCTTTTCATGTTACCGCTAATTGTATTTATAAATTTACGTATACCTGCCAGAGCAGCTACAATGGCCGAGCAGAAAAGGGGGCATATCTCAGATTTTTTTAAACATGTTCCAAAAAGCCTCAGAACAAGAGAAAGAAAGACTCTAAATAGTGCAATCACCAAACATCTTCTTGATACAGGACATCAGGTCGATACCCTACAATCATTCAAGGTGATTAGTAAGCAGCCAAACTCCAGTCTTCTGAAGTAGTTGCTATCAGGCGCCAAAAGCCTGATTTACGCGTTCAAAAGGAGATGGTTGTAAGATCCATTCTGAATGTTTTGTGTGTTGGTGAAAATCCCTCCATGTATATACTTGTACTTTGTTCCTATTGATCCCCTTAGTTGTACATTGTTGTATTTTGATTACATTTGAATTGGTAATACTTGTATTTTTTATTATAGTTTTTGTTTTTCTTACGCATTCACTAAGTTTGTGTTTCTTCCTGAACTTCATCTGTGTTGTTTTACTTGACACATGTTCTTGGCGGTAGCCATATTGATTTGCTCCTCCTTTTGTGTGTGTTCTATCCAGTCAAGATAGAATAACGTTCATCTGTTGTGACTGGTAATTTTCCCTCATTTTCTATCAACTTCTTTATTTTTTGTAATTTAGATTTGATTGATTGAACAATTATTGGTTGAATAGCCGGGTGGTAATATTTGTTTAGGTAACGATTTACATTTAAATTTATGATGAATTATAGAACCGCTATTTACCCGATTACTTGTTTTGATTTCGACGGGAAAGTGCGCGTGTCTAAAGTCCCCGGTCGGCTATTCTTCTATCCAAACCGTAGTTTGGATTCTACAGTTCTAAACAATTATTAATTGGCCGAAGTCGTTTGGCAATCGGTTGCGGATTTGATTATCGTTTCTGGAAATATTTGGTCGTTTCGCTTATGATGCCAACTAATCGTCGAAGGAAATCAAGCTCAAAGTTCGTCGTTGGTAATGAAGAATCCCCTATTACCAAGCAAGTGCCTTTTGATGTTTTTAAGTGTCATGGTTCAGACTCGAATAGGGTTGATTATCATGGTAGTGACTCTAGTCTTAATTCGATGACAGATGACGTAAAAAATCTTAGTTTAAAGGGAAAGCAAAGGCTTGAATTATCAGGAAAAAGCGTTTTGCCTATAGCGCCTGTTGTTGGTCTAGAACTACCAAAGGTTGAATTGAGTTATTTCGATGGACAGCCAAGAGGATACTGGATATTTATTAGGAAATTTGAGACCTATGTAGCGTCAAGAGTCACTGATGATAGCCAACGTTTGCTCTATTTGATGCACTATTGTAAGGGCAAGGCGAAAACAGCTATTGAGGGTTGTGTCATGATGGAAGCATCCTCTGGTTATAAAAGACCAAGGGAAATTCTAAAACGTTTGTTCGGACAGTCTCATGTAATCGCTCGAGAAACATTAGAGGACTTATTCAATGCTGTGAATTTTGATTATACTGACGGGGAGCAACTATCAAACTTGGTTATTAAAATGGAAAACTGTGCTCTGGTCTTGGAACAGATGAATTATACCTCTGATCTAAATTCCTTAGTTTTTTTGGAAAGAATAGTGAGACTCTTGCCTCAACCTATGCAAGCCCAGTGGGCGGACTGGGTGGATAAGTTGACCGAAGATGATAGAGAGCCGACGTTTCACGAACTCACTCAGTTTATCGCATCGCGTGCGAGAGTAGCTTGTAGTAGATTTGGACGGTTAGCAAATCGTTCACGAAAAGGGCATAACGTAAAGACGAACTGTCACGCGCAGTCTGAGCAAGGGAATAGTTCGACAGCGAAAACTAAATGCAGTATGTGTTTCTGCAACCATGCTATTTATAAATGTCCACAGTTCTTAGCGCTTACAGTTCAAGACCGATGGTCTCACGCTAAAAGCAAAGGCATTTGTTTCGTCTGTCTTAGACAAGGACATAAGGTCAATGAATGCAAGATGACAAGGCTCTGTAATGTTAACAGTTGTGAGAAGAGACATCACGCTCTGCTGCACATCGACTCGACAAGCCACTCTGTAAATGATAAGCCATCATGCCCGGAATTAGGAAAAGAGTTGTTAATTATACTAGTAAAATACAGTCGTTGGAGAACGAAATACTTAAGCCTTATGATGTAGAGTTTGTAGATGTCCGTTCAAGCGATAAGTCGTTATCAGTAGCCAATAAGGCAGCTATAAAGATTGTGGAAGGGCGCACGTGCTTCGACAGTGGTCATTTTGTAGTTTCTTTACCGTGGAAAAAGAATCTCAATATGAATGTGGATAATTATGAAGTAGCAAATCGTAGATTACAGAGTTTGAAGGGTATGTTGTCCAAGGATGTCAGTCTGCACATCAGGTATATCAAAGGTATTGAAAGTAATTTTACTAAGACTTATACAGAGAGGGTCCTTGAAATATATTTGCATTCTTATTATCGTCCTCGATGGTATTTACCTCATCATGCAGTATTAAACATGAAGAAACCAGAAGAACTTAGAGTGGTCCTTGATTGTGCCGCCCAGTTTGCAGGGGTTTCCCCAAATGATATGATTTATCAAGAACTCGATACCACCGCTGAGTTAAGGTGTATAATAATACGTTTTCGCAAGGAAGCAGTTGCAATCCCTGCAGATGTCGAAGAAATGTTCATGCAAGTGAAGATCCCTGAGTCTGATCGAGGAGCTTCAAGATTTCTGTGGTGGCAGAAGGGAGACATGTCGAGGGAACCATCCGAGTTTGAAATGACATCTCATCCATTCGATGCCACATCATCGCCATTTTACGCGAACTTTGCCTTGAATAAGATGGCCCAAATATTCTCTGACGGTTATGATGGTTATGTTGTAGATGATGTTGATGATTGCTTGATATCCATTCCCACTTGTGATCAAGCAAAGAGTTTCGTTAAGCATATAAGTGAATTATTATGTAGAAGAAGTATACAAAACATGACCGGTCTTGAATCTTGGTTCAAATGTCCTACTTTATTGCAGGGCGAATTTTATATAACAATCACTGACTGTCCGGAACCTACTCCTGACGATATTGAGTTTACAAAAACTGCTGTGGTTAACTTGAGTAGTATAAAGTACAACATGACATCCGTTCTCTCTTATTATTCCGAGTGGTTGAAATTAGTCAAAGCTGTAACCTGGTTTAGAAGGTTCATCGAATTCCTGATGGTACTTCGTTTACCGAGTTGTGAAGGATCCCTTCATCTAGGATGTTTAAAGGTCAAAGAGCTTGAGATTGCCAAGCGTAAGATTTTATTGATGGTTCAGAGAGAAGTGTATGGAGAATTACTTAGTGAATTTAAAAACGGCAGTAGAGTAGGAAGTCATGATGTTCTGAAAGGTTTATCATTGATAATGCTTGATGGGTTACTCTGCGTTGGAGGTCGACTAAGATACTCAGATTTCCCAAATTCTTTTAAACATCCAGTAATTTTACCCAGTCGACACTTAGTGACGGAAATGATAATTAGACATTGTCATAAAAAACGAGGACAAATAGGAAGATCATTGGAAAAAGGGTATGGATATGTGTTTACTTGTTTGCAAACATGGGCAGTACATATTGAAATGATGTGTAGTTTGATTACTGATTCATTTTTAATGGCTCTATTACGTTTTATTGGAAGAAGAAGGAAACCTCCGGAGATTTACAGTGACAGTGCGTCAAGCTTCGTGGTGACAGTTTCTGAGTTAAGCAAGTTCGTGCAGCAGTCAAATCAGAAGATAAACATTGAATTGTCAGCGAGGCCCTCATCCAACAGCATGGGTGGAGTTTGGGGAAGAGTGATTAGGTCTATATCACGACTGTAATTGTTGATCATCAGAGGACAGGTGAAGCAGGTCTCCCTGAAGCTTTGGATTAGTCTTTGTTGTTATTAATGTAATTAGATCGAGCAGGCGTACTGTTGTAATTCCTACTCGTTCCTATGGTGTGATATGTTATATAATGAACCATGACCGTAGGCATCAACGTAGCTTGTGTGGTATGGAGGGATTTTGGGGGCCGGTGTAAGATCCATTCTGAATGTTTTGTGTGTTGGTGAAAATCCCTCCATGTATATACTTGTACTTTGTTCCTATTGATCCCCTTAGTTGTACATTGTTGTATTTTGATTACATTTGAATTGTTAATACTTGTATTTTTTATTATAGTATTTGCTTTTCTTACGCATTCACTAAGTTTGTGTTTCTTCCTGAACTTCATCTGTGTTGTTTTACTTGACACATGTTCTTGGCGGTAGCCATATTGATTTGCTCCTCCTTTTGTGTGTGTTCTATCCAGTCAAGATAGAATAACGTTCATCTGTTGTGACTGGTAATTTTCCCTCATTTTCTATCGACTTCTTTATTTTTTGTAATTTAGATTTGATTGATTGAACAATTATTGGTTGAATAGCCGGGTGGTAATATTTGTTTAGGTAACGATTTACATTTAAATTTATGATGAATTATAGAACCGCTATTTACCCGATTACTTGTTTTGATTTCGACGGGAAAGTGCGCGTGTCTAAAGTCCCCGGTCGGCTATTCTTCTATCCAATCCGAAGTTTGAATTCTACAATGGTTATTAATCTTTCCCTGACTTGGTGATTATTATTACTTTATTATATCTTAATATTTCTCGTTTGCTTTGAACTCTTTCTTTCATTTATCACACCATTGAGTTTTATTCCAACCATCTTATTCTATCAACTGAACTCTACTCATTTTATTCCTATCAATGTTTACTTGTTTTCAACCGTTTGAACTGTTGTCACAATCTACCTTCATCACATAAGGTATATATTTACAATATTCAGTCTATTAAATTTATTTACACCCTTGCTATACTATACTATACTACACTGTCTTCAATATAACTTCCAATCAAACTCTTTCATGTAAGTGATTTAAACCCATTATGTAATTATGATTTTAAATATCACAGGTTGTAAGCAGCTGACGAGAACCAACGAAATAAAAATGAATTCATGCTATTCTGCTAGAATATTTGTTCTTGCTCTTTTCAAAATGATAAAGGGAACTATGTGTATGAAATTTCCACAGGTGTTCAATCACACACTCTTAACCGTTTTCCATAATATGATACCATGCTACTCAGTTTTCATTCAAATCATAAGCATTTATGTTCTCACTTGCTCTACAATGCAAGTGAATATGCATCGCACCCGTCACCATTAAGCTACACATTTTCATACCATTCTTTAAGATGATGGAGATTGGTTAATTTGCTCAAAATCAAGCGTCAAAATTGCTCTAATTACGAAATGTGAAACGTCTGTTTATAAATATATTACGGCTTATAATTAAGATCGTCTTGCATCTGAAGATCAGCTTTGGAGAAAATATCTTCGCTCCCTATCGTAAAGCTACTCCGTGAATTTCGCTCCAATATCATCATTAAAATGTATACTTTATACTGTAAACTAGTGCTATCTTCCTTTTTCATGATGATTTCATTACGTCAAACTGTGTACAGTAACTTCACTGTTATGAAACGATAATCGAACTATTGTGAAACAACTTACGCATCTCAATAATGGTCACACACGGTCTTCACTGCTGTGATTTGTAGCAGGTTTCAACTTCACTATATTATACATCAACAAATATATGTCGACCGATTTAAAATTGTTTTCACTAGTTTTATTCTGAGATATCTGTGGACCTACTGCCATAAGGAACGTGAACATTTACTTCGTCGGATGGATCATATCCACTGAAGCCTTTATATTCTATCATGGAACAATTTCTAATCATAATATGAAGGTGGAAATAGATGACCTGCCATAAAATGTTTGGTGTTTTTCATACATCACATAGAATAATTAAACAGAAAATTGGAAATAATTTTCACCGAATATCTATATGAGGGACAACTGACGGAAGATGTACAAATGAAGTATTTCATGTACGGTTTTCATATTTTACGAAGACACTGTGATTTCGCATTTGAAATTAAATTGGTTGGCCTCACCATGTCTTCCTTCACTGTGGTAATAATAATAATAATAAACTAGTATCGATAATGGAAGCGGCAATAATGTCAGTGGTATTATTATGAGTAATTGTATCTTTGTATTATGATCATTACTGTTAAGCGGTTCATGTATGGCACGAATGGTAGAATTTGTAGAACTAGCAACAATGATAATGAATCTACTGATAGTATCGGCAGATGTAATCTAATAGTTAGTATAGGATTGCGTAGTTTGTCGAGTTTTATTTCAGAAGAGCCAATCAAAGTAAGAGATAATTTTCTGAGTTCGATTGGGATGCCATGATCATTGTGGTTGATGTGTGTCAGGTATGGGCCAGTTACTCATCTAAGACGATGGAGGATAGTCGCAAAATTTCGTAGATTGTTTGTCAGACATTATCACTATAAGATACCGGCTCAACGATTTGAGGATAATCGATGGCGTGCGAGATTGCATGTCATGTGCTCGAGCCATACGATAAGAAAGTGTAGAAGTTTGTGGATAATGTAATAATTACCTACACTAAAATGTTTGCCATACAACAATGCATAGAACTACAGAAGGATTATGAGTTCCAGACAAATATACATATCACATATTGAATCGATCTGAAATTGTGGTGAATGTTTCTTGTAAGACAGTTATGATCTAATGAATGTCTGAGTTGACTTGATAACATCATGCTGTATCTTTGTGAAAACCAACACGTAATGGAGTTCCACTGATAATAATCTTCAGCTCTCTTTTCATGTCTGTTTTTGTTAATGATCTACAGATGATGTCATAGTCGTTTGTTTTGGGTTGGTCTTTTTCATATCATGATGAACTGTCCTCTGTAACAATGATCAGGTAGTATTGTTGACTCGCGAAACGCCATTCTTCTAACGATTTCATTGAATTTTTCCACAATCGCTGCACCACTCGTGTCATAAATATTAACGCTGGCTTGCTTGTTACGTCAATAAGATTTTCCAAACTAAGACTTTCATTACAATTCCTGTTGTCTTTCATCATTCGTATTGTCATCGTTTTTGGAATCACTGCCACTTGATCAAGTAATTTGACGAATCGATTTTTATGTGTCATCGGCACCCATTTCTGTCCTTGATTCTTTCAGGTTTGGAAACACTGTCTTGCATTG